GTGTTGGTGTGTTCAGTCTCTATGTATGGACTGTGTTTGCTCAAGCTCTCTCTCAGGACTGCCCATCTGGCTCGCCAGAACTGCTGCAGAAGTGGTGTGCTACCGGCCGTGACCTGACGGTGGCAGCATTGGGCGCCCTATCTCAGTCCCTCAGCACCTGCTCTGTGGAAGCACGTCCTGCAGCCTGTTCCACAGCAGGGTTTGGATTTCAGACTGTCACTCAGATTTTTCTTCTGCTTAATGACTCTGTGTATGCAAATGACTCTGCTTTCTTTCTGTGGAAGAGGTCCAGTCTATCATTCCTGTTTTGGTTTCCAGTTAATGATTATATGTAATTATATTCAAATGAAATATTTATAAATAATTATATATAATTAGTGGTATGTAAAACTTGGAATTCATGAACTTCAGGCTTTGCTGAAAGGTAACCTTTAATTTGGGAGGTGCTACTCTTAATATTATTATTTGTTTCTGTTTATAAGACATTAGTGGCCAAGAATCTGTAATTCTCTTTTACTGTTTTTATAAGGTTCGAGGTTTTTTGTTTGTTTGTTTATTGTTTTTTAAATAATAGGTAGGCTATTTATTTGGTAACTCTCTAGGGGATATATTATAGATCCACATCTGGAGAATCCTCTGAGGAAAACAAATGATATTTTCTTAATCATCTCAGAAGCAATTAGTTTCTCCTTGAATTCTGAAAGGTCATCACGGGGTCACCCAGTTCAATTCTACTCCAGCCTTGCATTTAACATCAGGCAAAAGAAATGTGCATTCGCCCCTCTTCTCCGTTAGTGACCACCCCCAACCAGGGCAGCCGGCATTTTGAGGGCCCCATTGTTGCTGAAAACAGAAAAAGAAAGTTATCCTGAGCTAGTACATAATTGAAATTTTGCCAACACCAGAGGTTCAGGTACATTTTGCCATTTCTCTTTACCTGGTAGCCACCCGTGGAGCTACAAATGGTAAAACTGTCTCAGAGCAAAAGGTCTTAATTCTACGGGGGGAGTGGGCTGTAGAAGCAGCATCTAGGTGCCTTTCATGGCTGAGGACAACAGGAAACCAAAGGGAAAGGTAGAGAAAGGAAAAGAGCAGTCGGAGCTGTGTAAGGTCAGAGTTTCTGGAAGGACTCCCAGATGAGGTATGGGGCCCGAGAGTGCTCCTAGTGATGGGAAGAACACACTCTCACTTCCGGGGTTGCCCTGATTCTAGAAACACAAGGACTAAAGACATACTGATAGGGGTAGTTTTGAATCTTCAGTTGAGTTGATGCAGATGTTTTAATTCCTCTTAAAATTAGATGGGATGCCAAATCCACGTGAAGACTGTGTGCACAATGCACCCTATTTTCTCAGGGGCTCCCTCAGCCTGTTTTGGGTTTGGCCGTAACCATGAACATGCATTATGTATGCAAAATAGTAGCATAAAGAAAACTGAAGATGCTCTTAATAGGCTGACCTAAAGGCTCCTCTACCTGACTCCGTAGGTGTATTTTGGAGGCTTTAAATCATGACAGCACATTTTTTTTTTCTTAATAAACTCTTTTGTATGCAATGTTAAGGTTCCAAAAATTTCACATCATGTGCCATAAATGCAATATACATTGGAGAAGTCATCTTCAAGACACACTAAGAAGATGCTATGAGATTCTAATTTTCCTATTTGACTTTTATTTCTCCATTTTTCAGTTGTAAGGGAAAAATCATGCATTTATTAATCTTTTACCTAGAAACTTAAAAATACTGGGCTCTAGATCTCTTAAATGTCAGCATGTAGATTGGTCCTGGGTAAATCACTTAATCTCCTTAAACTTGAGTTTCCTTTTGATAAAAATAGGAGGCTGAACTTTCTTTCAGTCTTCTTGTTTTATGAGTATACTAGAAGCCCATTGCACGAAGATTCGTGCAATAGGCCTTGCTTCCCCTGACTTTGCAAGTCCTCACTCTCGGCTGGCGTACCACTCCCATATCTCCCTCCGCCCTGCCTCCTTCTCATAGCAGGCATCCTGCCCTGCCCGGCTGCTCAGCACCTGCACATGCAAATTAACCCACCAGTTTTGTTGGGTTAATTTGCATACTCACTCCTGATTGGCTGTGGGCATAGTGGAGGTACAGTCAGTTTACATGTTTGTCTATTATTAGGTAAGAGATGATAGTTTCTCTTCATTGTAATCAGTATTGTGCAATCTGACACATTACATGGTTTTACTTAGATAGCATATTCTACCTGAAATTATCCTGTGTATTTTCACTTTTCAAAACATATTTACATCTCTTATTTGGACAAACAATTAATTCAGCCCTAATGCATTGGCAGGGCCAGACCAAGTGATTTTGCGGGCCTCATAGGGTTTGTGGGCTGGATATGCTCCATTTCTGCCCTAAATCTTTGCACAAAAGGCTGTTTGTCAAGCAGGTTGCAGTTTAAATATTTCTCCCTCCGAGTGGCCTTCCCTGACCTCTCCATCTAAAATAGCCATGTCTTTTGTTTAATATCTGACACATCACATGGTCTTATTTATATAGCATATTCTACCTGAAATTATCCTGCGTATTGATTTCTGTTGTTGTTATTGTTGCCTGTCTCATCTCAGAATAGCATATATGCTTAATGGGGATTGGGACTTGGCTGCTTTGTTCATTGCACATCCTTAACAGTGAAAGCAGAGCCTGGCATATAGGTACTCAAGGAGTGTTTATAGAATAAATGAATGAATGAATAAATGAATGAATAGATGCCATTGGCAGAAAACTACATGCTACCGTGTTTCCCCGAAAATAAGACATCCTCCAAAAATAAGACCTACTTACAGGTTTCCTTCCAAGTGAAATATAAGGCATCCCCAAAAATAAGGCCCCCTAGGCTAACCATGAGATTTTTGGTCCACTGATTCTGAAAGAAATGGAGTCACAAGAAATTCACCAGACAATTCAGAAATTGGATTGTTATGATGATGTTCCAGAAGATGATGACATGATTGTCATTGAATAAATGAGTAAATTCTTAATACTGTAAGATTCACAGTTTGTCTGGTTTGTGTTGACAACTACCATACTACCGTACCGTATACAGGTAATAAATTTCCTTTATTTTCATTTAACAATAAATGTGTACCGTATTCTTCTTCATTGAAAAATAAGACATCCCCTGAAAATAAGAACCAGCGCATCTTTGGGAGCAAAAATTAATATAAGACACTGTCTTATTTTCGGGGAAACAGGGTAGAGAGGTTGTGGTCACATAACTAATTAAAGGTAGGGCTCACACTTGAACACAGTCCTCATTATGTTTCTTTCCCGCAGGTCATACTGCCACACAGCAAGCCTTATTATCTTAGAGATAATTCTTTCATTTACTCTTTATTTATCCACCAAATGTTTATGGAGCATATCGTGTTTTAGACTCTATCCTATATTCTTGGTTCTCAACCATGAGTGATGTTGCTCCTGTGGGAACATAGTTCAATGTCTAGTGACACTTGTGGTTGTTCTAACTGGAGTGGGGGTGCTACTGGCATCTAGTGAGCAGAGGCCAGTAAGCATTCCACAATATGCAGGACACCCACCCACCCATCCACTCAATAGAGAATTATTTAGCCTGAACTGTCCATAGTGCTGAGCTTGGGAAGCCCTGTTCTACGTGAACAGACAGATCCCTGTTCTCACGGAGTTTATAATCTAGGGTGTGGGAGACAGATGACAAATGGTACATACCAAACATAAATAAAGTGAAGACCATGTCAAAACGGTGGTGTGATGGGAAAGAAAGAGAAGTCAGACACAGGAGGAGTGCTGGTAGGCCCAATGGGTGACGGGGGTAGGAAAGGCTATAATCTTTGCTTCTTTGGGGGTGAACCAGGAAAAGAACATTTGCTTCTGGAGGTTTAGCTCCATGACCTGGACTGACCAGACCTTTGGGTCCAGCCAGTGCTGCAGGGCATTAGCCTATGCAACTTCAGGTCATCCTCACACTGAAGAAACAGAAAACCTTCCTGAACCAAGGGGCATGTTAACCTCCAAATAAAAATAGAGCAACTGGCGGGGGTTAGAAATATTATCTTCTGCTCCTTTCAGGAGTGTTGAAATTCTCCTCTTTCTCAACACCTTCAGCACTCTGTCATCACTGATGCAGGACGGTGTTAATTTGATGCAAGTTTTATTGCTCATTGTCAGCTTCTCACTTTTTTCTCAAAGCAAAAATAGTGTGATTTCAGCTTCTCTCAAGAACTCTGTGAGTTTATGGTTGTACAAGGGTTTCTGTCTGTCTAGGTTGATTTCCTAAACTCAACAGAAACAATTGTATCATTTAATATCTTGGGAACACTGTAGTAGTTGATGCTGATATACACAGGTCAATGAGATGGTTCTTACTATATATATTTAAGTATATATACAGTTATCACTAAAAAACATACTAAAATTGTGGTTTTGGTAATTTGGTTGGCATGTACTTGCTTTATTGGTCTCTCTATTGTTTCTTTACCAATCATTGGCATCCCGAAGGTACTCAGCAAATGTCTGTTGAATTAATAAACAAACTGCAAAAATCAGTTTGGGTTTGCTAGATTCTATATTTATGTTTTTGCAGAAGCATGAACTAATTGATATCACTGAAATACAACTTAGTACACATAATAGCATATTCTTACAGCATTATCATGATAGCATATTAATTTATTTCTAAATCTTTTTTTTTTTTTTACTTTTAAAATTATTGCATGGGATCTGATTTGACTCACAGGGTTTCTGAATGTAGTAAACATACGACTTCTAGTGGTTGATACCTTTTCTGTATATCTTTAACCTAGAAAGGGATTATTAAACAGGAAAATAGATTTCAATAAATATCTTTGCTTGTAAATTGACATGGTTGAAGAAATTATGCACAGCGCACCATTTTATTCTGGGTGCCATTTTATTCTAAGGAAGAACTTGAACAGTTTACTGGATGTGTGTTGATTTTTTTTTTTTTTTTTTTTTTTTTTTTTTTTTTTTTTTTAGTGCTATTTCTTTACAATTGAGTTTGGCCTCTGCAAGCAAGAAGGGCAGCTGCGGGCATATGGAGCAGGACTGCTTTCTTCCATTGGAGAATTAAAGGTATGAAGCTGTGAACGGAAGTATCCTTCCCACGCAAACTGGTTCAAGGTCATGGAAAATATTGATTTGTTTGCACATTTCTACTTGCAGATACTCCATAAATATTTAACATGGAGGAGTTGGCACTTCACCATGGGTGCTGACCTAACTTTTTGCACTTCTGAAAACAGGTCACTCTTGTGGCGTGACGCAAATGGATGAGCAGCGATGTGCACAATCAACAGGAATGACAAATGTATGCTCACACATTGGCTAACAAATGACTGCCCTAAATTCAGTGCTGCAAAGTGGGCAATGAGCCAGCAGGGCTCCCACTCATAAAAGCTTCCTCATGAGGGTGCCTTGGCTGCTCTCACTTCTGTCACCCCCATGCCTCCACTGGACTTCCCAGCATTTATTCCCAAAGAGGAATTTGACATTATTTTAACTGCTTCCAAGTTAATGAGTATTAAAACATATGTGGACATATATAATTTAGAAAAAGACTAAATAAACATATGGTTATTTTACTAAATAGTATCTAAAATGTGTAATGCGGAGAAACCAAGATGGTGTCATAGGGTAGACACCCGAATGCAGCCTACCACAACAAATTTGAATTTAGAACTGGAAAACAGGGGAGACATTATCCTGAAACACCAGACGGCTAGCTGAGAGGAGGTTCTGCCACCTGGGAAGGAGAGAGAAGGCACACTGAACCTCAGGAACTGTGAAGATACAGAGAACTGTGTGCACAAAAAGGTGCTGGCTTACTCCCGGCGCGCTGAGAGGAAAGGCCAGACAGAGATTGCTGCTGGTGTACTCCCGGTGCACGAGAGGGCGGACAGCTAATGCTCGGCTGGCTTTCTTGTTCGAGAGGAAAACTGAATCACCCTATTATTTTGATAGATGGCCCCAGACAGGGAGAGGCCAGACTGTCAGGCAGCAGGAAGAGATCTTTTGGAGGTGTGTGAAGCCAGAGGCCATTACTGCGGGACTTGGGGAGGAGCCAAAGGGAAAACAAAGCTTGTCTGCACCAACCCGAGACTCTGCCCCATCCAAGCTGAGCACAGAAGCTCTCCTAGAGGCTGGCTTTCTCTAAGGAGAGACTGGCCGGAATCCAAAGCTTGTCTGTACCAAAGAGGTGCATGTGCCTGCAACCAATCTTCTGAAACTCACCACGAACAAGACTTTTCTAAGGCGAGACTGACAGGGAACCAAAGATTGTCTGCACCACCCCGAGACCCCGCCCTATCCAAGCGGAGTACAGAAGCCCTCCTAGCTGAGACACTGCTGATCCTCACAGCCAATTGGCTTGGAGATCAACGCTTCCCAGTGATACCAACAATAAGCAAGGCTTAACAACAAGACTGCACACACAGCCCACAAGGGGCTACACCAAGACTGTCCACCGCAGGTAACTGGGCTCTACCAGAACACCTAGCACACAAAACTATTCCATCAAATCAGGGAAACAACTAAAATGCAGACAAGAGGAAGGACACAAAGCAAGGAGATGGAGGAAAAGAAAAGATTGGACATTGAGTTCAAAACTACAGTTATAAGATTATTCAACAATATCCTAAAAAAGGCCAATAAAATAAATGAGACCTATGAGGATATGGAAAGGGAGCAACTAGAAATAATAAGGGATCAACTAGAAATGAAGAAAACATTGTCTGAAATAAAAAATATTACACAGAGTCCTAAAAACAGACTGGAAGATCGCAAGAATCAAGACAAAGATTTAGAACACAAAGAGCCAGAGAACACTCCTCCACAGAAGCAAGAAGATAAGAGAATCCAGAAAGTTGAAGATAGTGTAAGAAACTTCTGGGACAATTTCAAGTGAACCAACATCAGAATTATGGGGATCCCAGAAGAAGAGAGAAAGCAAGATACCAAAAGAATACTGGAAGAAATAGTGACAGAAAACTTCCCCCACCTGGGGAAAGAAATAGACTTACAAGTCCAGGAAGCCTGCAGAACCCCAAACAAAAGGAATCCAAGGAGGACCACACCAAGATACATCATAATTAAAATTCCAAGAGCAAAAGACAAAGAGAGAATATTAAAAGCAGCAAGAGCAAAGCAGGTAGTTACCTATAAAGGAGCATCCATACGATTGTCAACTGATTTCTCCACAGAAACCATGCAGGCCAGACGGGAATGGCAAGAAATATTCAAGGTGATGAATAGCAAGAACCTATAGCCAAAAATATTCTACCCAGCAAAGCTATCACTCAGAATCGAAGGCCAGATAAAGAGCTTCACTAATAAAAAAAACTAAAAGAGTTCATCACTGCCAAATCAGAATTATATGAATTGCTGAAGGGGGTTATTTAGGAAGAGGAAGCAGATAAAGATAAAAATTATGAACAACAAATACATAACTATCAACAAGTGAATTTAAAAACCAAAGGAATTAAAAAATCTGATGAACAATACTAACTGGTAAATATAATAGAATCAGAGGTATGGAAGGGGAGTGGACTGATGATTCTTGGGGAAAAGGGGAGTGGGGGTGTGAGAAGAGACTGAACAAAAACTGTACACCTATGGATGAGGTCAATGGGGGATGGGAAAAGGACAGAAGGTGGGGTGGGAACCCGGTGAAGGGGAGCAATTTAAGGGGGGATTGGAACACATTTGTAATAATCTGAACAATAAAGATTTATTTAAAAAAATAAAATAAAATGTGTAATGCTGCTTAAGGAATGCTGTTTCTCCCCCTCCCCCCTTAAAATATAGTCAATTATCATTTATTCAGAAATTTTTGGGCCTGGGGCATCTGATAATTTAAATATTCTGGTTCCTTCAGAATTTCTATTTATAGCATTGGGGGAGAGTAAGTTTTGATGAATTTAGAATGAGATGTGAAATATAATCTAGAAATAGTACTGAAAATAATTTAATATTTCCTGGATTATTCAGACTAAAATCAGGGTTATGGGCTATTTTAGGGTTTTTATTTTGAATATTGATTATCCTTATATAATAGAATTAGGAAATATGTGATAATTGGAAGTTTTTGGTTGTTTCTGTTCTTGAACGATGCAATTTAACTATAATTTTACCAGGTCCTCTCATTCTTCACAGATTTGGTTGAACACCTAATATGCACCCTGTACAATGCCAGTCACTGGAACATACAAATACAAATAATGAGGAAGAATAAGAATAAGAAGAAAATAACAACTACCTCAGCCGACACTTAAATATAGACCTTAGTATTTTAGATATTTTAGCCATATAAACCCATTTAATTCTCATAACAACATAATGAGATAAGCATTCTAGATGAGAAGACTGAGGTATAAAGACACTAAGGAACCTGTCCAAGGCCACACAGCTAGTAAGTGTTGGAGCTGGACGCAACCACATCCAGGCAGTCTGGGCTCCAGGCTCTGAACCCTTCCCCACCAGGCTACACTGCCTGGGTCCCTGTTACTAAGGAGTTCACCTCTAGTGCAAGAGAGAACCAGTCAGATAGCACAGATACTGTGGCAAATGTGCCTGGCACCGAGTGGGCTATGCTCAGGAAGGCTTCCTGAGAAGACCCAGCTGCCCAAGCTGAAGGCTGACTTTGAGGAGGACGAGATAACACAGATCAGCCGTCGGACAGCAGTGTGCATGCTCTCATCAAGCCTGCCCCATTTAGGGAGCTGCCTGAGGTTTGGCATGGCTGGAATTGATGATAATACTTAGCATTACAAAAGCCTGATATAATGTGGTGAAATTTTTTTTCCCTAAATTCTCAACAAAAATAGTCCATTTGGGATTAATCTTAGCACAGCAGCCAGAGCCCACAGCAATAGTATGATGTCATGTACCTGAAAGACTCAGGCCTTCTATAGAGTGCTTTTTTATTTCCCCGAAAAAAGATTAGCCAGAAAACCATGTAGCTCTTGAGCTACATCTATTTACATTCTCCTCAGAGGCTTTATAAATCACGCCAGAAACAAAAGAAACAAATCTCTCTTATTGCCTCAACTTTCGACAAGGTCCTCTGATCTGGTTAATGAGGCATGCGTAGGCAGCACTGGAGTGAAACTGTTGGTTTTGTTTCTGTTGGTGTGGATGGAATCGTCTGGAAATGGAAATCAGCCAGAAACATGTACACCAACCGAAGGGCATTGTCAGCCATGAATCTTCCTGTTCTGGTCCATCACCTCTGGTCATTAGCATTCTTCCATTCTCAAATTTCAACACTCCAACATCCCAATGATTGCTACTGTGGGCCGTTTTTACAATTCAGGCATTCTTTCTACAAGAAAAATCTCCTGATAGTTCACAGGGAATACAGAACATGATGCAGATCCTCTCGAAGCAGCCCTCCCTCTCTCTATCCCTGCCCACTCTGCCCCGGGCAGAGCCTCTTACACACTTTTCAACACTTCAGTCTAACTTGTATTCAGCTGGTCAGTGATAGTCCTTGATCTAAGTAGGGATAACTTTATTAATAGCATTATTATAATTCCAGTGTAAACACCCTTACAATTTTGGATCCAGTTACCTTATGTGGTAAAATATTTTTGTGTTCCACCTGCAGCCCAAATGTAGGTCCCAGCTAAGTTGTTGAAGGTTTTGGTGTAGTCTTTATAACTTTTACATAAATATTATCAACTCACCTTCTCTGCTTGAATAGACACGCTTTAAACATTGTGCTTTAAAAAGGCTAGATTCTCCTGGGCATAGATGTTGCACTTCAGAACTGAGCAAATATTTCCAAGTGGTATATCTATGGTTTGGAGGATAACTTTCATTTTTCTGTCTTATTTTTTTGATAACAACATTGCCTTTTTTTTCCCTTACAGTTTTGATAATGCTTATTTTTATCTTTAAAGACAGAAACAAAAATATGAAAAAGTTTGTAAAAGCTAACATTAATCTGATAGCCAGAAAGGCTGTTTTTCTTTTCTTTTCTTTCTTTCTTTTTTTTTATTTAATTCCAGCAATGGTTCATCTCTCTTTTGTTCTAGTAATCTATTTTGTCATGAGCTTTCAGAAAGTCTAAAAGT